CCACGTTTAGGTAAGTCTAATATAAGTATTTTTACCAAGTTTCAAGTCTCTACGTATATTTATAACCAAATTATAACAAAAACGCTCTCAAAAATTAAAATTACTTAAAAGCTCAAAAGTTTTGGCGATAATACCGTAAGAAAGTAAATAAAAAAAGTTTCTTCGATTTTTCGATTAAATTATTTTTTCTGACAGAAAACGTCGTCTGTGTTTTTATAAAATAATGAAATCGTGAAATTGTACGTTTACCTGTTTTTTTTTTCCATTTAAGTGCTTATATTTAAAAAATGGTGTCAAAAATGATCATTTTTAAGTACAATCTAAAAAACTTGAGCTCTTAGAAAAGTTGCTACTCATGTAAAAATTGGAGCAAATTTACTAAGAAAAAACGTGTCCACAGACTAGAATAAAGAAAAAAATAAAAATAAATAAACAACATTGTAAAACCAATAGCTCCATTGCTACGTTCGTAATTTAAAATTGGGTGGTCGGACCGGGACTAGAACCCGTGAGAATCAATAATATTTAAAGGTTACTGCGTCGTCACATGTGTACGTGACAATATAACATGGTGTTCAGGTGGCGACTGATATTATTGGATTTAGGTTTCGAGACGATTTTAAATCTTCCTCGATTTCGACCAACGATGATTATTATTTATTAATAATCGAACGGTATTACGAATGAATACAATAAATTTAACAACACTGGAAAAAACAAAATCTTGTTCAGTTACAAAATAACGAATTATTAAATATTAGTTATTACTTATCAACGAAAATCGCTCTGCGAGCGATGCGATTTGCAGGTACGGCAATTACGGTAGCATTATCTTTTTTCTATGGGTATAAATAGGCACGTAAATCACGGCCGCACACGTAATTACATACATAGAGTTGAATTCAGACAAGTTTTTTTTTTTTTTGGGGAGGGGGGGCATTACTAAAATTATAGTAGATGACTTTTTTTTGCTTACCTACCCTCTTACTTAGACCAGTCAAATTCAAATTTGTTTAATTATTAATTTACCCACATTTAACAGGAGGGGAGGCAAACAAAATTCTAGGGACGGCTTTTCCCCTCCTTTTTATATACCTGGATTTAACACTGATCATACACTTTACACACACACCACACGACGCATTATATTATTAGAACGGATAATGCGGCATGCTTCGTGGACGTTAACCACTGGGCACAAACCTTTACACTTTATTTATCCATGAACCCCTATAGACTATTATAGTACTTACGTACACAACGGCCACTCACACATTTAAGAAGTGAAGCAATCGCTTCACATGGTATATATGAATTCGGTCGCCATCGATAACACATACATATTTTTTTAATTTGTAAGTACACATTAGCCATTAATCACTACATTGCTAAAGAGTGTGGACTACGAGATTGTGGGAATCTAAAATGTAAATTATGCACTTGTAAAGTTAAAAAAGACACTTCTACCGTATATTATAATAATTTATATCACTGCGATTTATTTATGTATATTTTTAATAAACTTTTTGAGATTTGTTGTTTAGATTGTTACAATAGCGGGCTCAGCTTTTTGCTATGAGAGGGGATGAACTGTATTTAGTTTTGTTGATAGTCATATACACAAATTTACAAAATGTAATTATTGATATATACATTGATATTTTAAGAGTAGGTTGTTAAGTATAAATTACAATGTTAATATATATTATACACATAGATACCTATTTTTTATACTAATGTTTTCAACTTCTTTTTTCATTTTTTTAAAATTAAATGAAACTTAAACTTTGGCAATAGTATCTATACATTTTTAAGTGCCTAAACAGTAAAACACAAAAGTTATGTATACTAGGTAGTAAGAACTTATTATTTTTATCTAAAATAAAGTCTAAACTTACAGTAAATTTATCAGCATCTGATAATCTACAGTTCACAAATAAGTCTATATCGTTTATAAGCATACTTTTAGTCTTAAAAATATTTAAGTAATTAGGCATGCGTTAATTTAATTTAAAATAATAATAATAATAACAATCATTAATATAAATGTTTTATTATAGCATAGTTAAAAACTGCATAGCTATAAATACTATTGATAATATATTAATATGGCAATTGTTGCGATAGACCTCGAAATATAATGGTACTCCATTGGTACTTTTTTTTTTTTATAATATTAAATATTATTTATGCATTATCTATGAATAATTACTATTACTATAGTATCTACTAAACATATTTTATATGTATGATAGTAATTAACATGACTAAAAATTAAAACCACTATACATTTTTGAATGTATTTCATTGCTATCTGAGAAATTAATGGTTTAGTACATTTTTTTTCGGCCATTTTAATTAAATAAAAAGTGTACCAAATTCAAGTAATTCGACTATCTACAACCGTGACGTAAACAAAACAATATAGTTCATGTAATATAATACAGATACTTTATGACTTCAGCTTTTATAAAAAAAATAGTAACTACCTATTTGTGAATAAATTTGATTTTTTAATCAAACGTCATTAAATTATAGTTATTTTATGGGAAAATGTAACTAAATTATTGTTTCATGAAACTAGCGACTCCGCAGTGGCGCGTTCACTAGCAGATTTTCACGAAGATTTCCTAAACGTGTGCCTAAAAAGCACGGTAATTTAAAAAGAACGCTACGATCAACCATAAAACAGCTGGCGCTATTGACATGTTTTTTTTTAAATAATTTTATCAACCATTGCCGTACACTCCATAAATAACAGTCGCACGGTGAACGTATTGTTGTTGATAACGATAACCGCCATATTATTTTGTTTGTACCAAAATGGATCATAGAGTGATAAAGAGTTGTCGTTTAATAGTTTCATTAAAATTTGTTTAATTTTTTTTTTTTCAAGAGTTCCCGAAACTGTGCAAAATAGTGTTTTTTCCATTTAACAAATTGTCTATACATTTTTCTTGCTTCAAAATTAGATACTTAGGTAAAAGTAGAATTATAATAAATAATTTAACACTATTTTTAAATTGAACTTGGGCGTACTTGACTTTGACGTTGGCCCAATTAATGAAGGTTTGAATTTAAAATGTTTAATTTTGTCATTGCGTGACAATGACAAAATTCTTCTTCTAAAATCGGCCAGTTTAAGGATTTCAAAATCCAAGTGACCATTCCAGGTAATGATGGTGGTTAATGATCTCTAGTTTGATGTGCCAGATCTCCGTGGTCTAATGTGCCCATGTTTCATTCCTAAGTCCTCTTTGGAGCTCTTTCATTAAAGGATCAGGGACCTTCAGTTTGGTTTGAATGTTCTTTTTTTAAAAGTCATAACTGACGGATTTGAGCGTCTGTTAAGTAGGGTGGTATAAGATCTCCTAGTAAGTTTGGTGATGACCCGTTGCCTCTCACCATCCTGCTCTCTTAAGATAGAGAATTCAGATAACATCAATACATAAATGTCTCTGTTAAACATGCCTTATTTGAAATCGGCGATGACTATTCTATTAGGTTTCAATGAACAGTACATGTTGGGAAATGGAAATAAAAAAATAAAAATAGAAAAATTTAAGAATGGTGATGTGTAGATTTATGTATATGAGTATATTGACAACATTTTGTAATGAGTTTTGAGAAGAGAAAGAATACTTTTAAAATCAGTAGTAGTGAAAAATTGTATTTACAGAAAATTTGAGTTGTACAATTGTTGGCGTTGAAATAAAAATAGGAGTTGAAGTGCTGAGATGCATATGGAGATGATTGTTCAATTGTCATTGTAAATTTCGACCTTGACGGGTTTGCATCGCTGGAAATACACAACTTCTCCATATTTGATTGTAGAAAAACCCAGACCTTGACCCATTGTACATACAAATTTTGATAAGCTGTATAAGGCCAAAGATAATGATTGTTTTAACAATTTTTTTTCTAAATTACACTACTTGGTGATAGATAATTAAAATATATTATCTATGTACACAAATTGTGTGTACATAATGGTTTTATTTGAAAATAGGATAAAAACATAGTTTCTGCTATAATCATTAATCGTGGGTGTTTTGTTTGTATAGCTGGGATTGTGCAAACAATATAAATAAAAATGCTACCGGTTTGTTATCCTACAATAAGCAACACTACAACGCATCTTGCAAGCTATCATACTTTACCATTATTTACTTATTAATGTCAAAATTATTTAACACTGATACCTCAGCTATTAACACATTAATTTTTGTTAACAATTCAGAATATGTATTTGTCCACTGCTAACTTACTATATTTTTAAATAACTAGTTTTCTAAATGGTAAACTTAATTTTATCAAATTTTAAATTGCTTTAAATAATTTATTATCCCCAATATTTGTTGTAGTTTTTTTTTGTTTTTATGTATTTTAAGCTTCTTTATTGCTGTTATACGGCAATGATCCAGCTTCACATCATCTTTAGAAAACAAAAATCCTAAATACTTCACTTTACTCTGATAATATTGTAATTTATTTACATTAGGTAAACTTTATATTATATTTGTTTGCCCTGTCTAAAAACTTCTGCTACTGTTTTATGCATTTCCTCTTTTGGATTCGTTGCACAGAGTATGTTATCAAAATAAATTATATAATTTTCAATATTACCAAAACACTTATGAGTTAACATTTGAAAAATTTTCGGCATTGGTGACAAACCAAACAGTGCTCTCAAGAACTTATAACATCATAAGGGACTACTAAATGTGTTAATTTGGCAGTACTTTATAAACAGAGTTTATCTTTACATTGTATTCGATAGCTTATATCTAATTTGGTGAAAACCATCCTTTAAATCAAACACACAAAAACACTTTTATTTACCAACTTTGGCATTATTTCTTCTTTGATGGAAATAAGAAAGTATTCACACATTATGTACTTCTTAAATTCTGTTGAATCAGGACAATTCTAGGTGTTTTGTTTGTTTTTACATAACTACGCTATTGACCCTTTCCCCGGCTCAGTTACTGGCTCTATAATTATTTATTAGTAAGCTGTCTTAGAGTTTGTTCTAATCTTGGTCTTATTGCAAGTGGAACACTACGAGGAGGATTTGCTATAGGGATAGCTCTATTAACTAACTTTATTCTAGCTACATACGAAAAGGTACCCAAACCTTCAAATATTTGTTTATTCCAGGATATAAAACTATCAAGTCCCCATGTCTTATTAATATATAATTAAATGAATATTTTGCACCAAATTAAAATAAACATAAGAACTTAATCCTAATACTGGAATACAATTAGGATGATCTACTATTATAAATAGAACATAGTTAATTATTTCTTTAACCTTACATTCTAATATTGTACCCTTTGGGCTTCACTTATAATCACCATATAATTCAATTGTAACCTTTGTGGGTTGAAATATTTTTTCAGTACTAATATATTAACAGTTTTGAACATTTTAAATGGCAATATATTAGTTTCTGCTCCCGTATCTATTTGAAAATATATCCGAGTATTATTAATACTAATCAACTAGTACCATTTTTTATTATCAATTCTCTTTATTTTAACCCAATTGATAAAAAAAACCAAATCTTTATTATTGGACTCTACATTCTAAATCAACAGTTTTAATTGAATGTTGTTTATATGATTTTCAATTTTATTTCTATTCATATTTTTTTGATTACCTGACCCTAAATTAAATTTACATAAACAAATAAAATAATTCTTATGTTTACATTTGTTATAAACTTTATCAAAGGCAAAATATTTATTTATTAAATGTGTCTTACCATAACTTGTACAATCATTTATAGTTATGTATAGTTTATAGTTGTCTTCTATTTTGAGAACAATTATGATTGCTTAATTACATGATGCACTTCTATATTACTTTCCAGCTCCCTGCAATTCTTTTCCACTGTCTTAACTGACTGGCAGAATGCCATTAGTTGGTTCAAAGTCATGTCTACTTGCAACAACTTCTCCAATGTGTCACGATAACGAATTCTTAACACTATCGAGTCGAGATCCGAGTCTTCAGTGTACCAAAATTATATGGTTTGATCAACACTTTAAGTTTTGTTAAGTAAACATCAAAGTTGTCTTTATTTTGTTTTGAGGTAAACAATTTATAATGGGCAATTATTTTGTTTGTTCTAGATAAAAAATATTTTTCCAATTTATCATGTACTTGTGATACCTGAGTGTCTGCTTCCTTATCCATTACCAAAGTGTAATACACTTTAAAGGCATCCGTGCCTATCAAGTTTAACAATCTTGTAATTTGTATTTTCTTTGATATTTCATCAGTCTCTGTCGCCTTCATGTAAATTCCAATTTACTGTTTGAAAAACTTACAATTTTGCGACAAATTACCTGCCATTTTCAGTGATGCTCGATTTTTTTTATTAATTAATTCACATGACTAGATTAATAATTTTAACTTTTAACATATATTGTCCGTACGCTACTGCGCCATGTTTTATAATTTACGGTAAGGTAAAGAACCAAATAAATGGTTTGAATTATAATAGTCGCATGATTTATTATCACACATAAAGAGTTACGACAGTTTTCGTAGACAACTACATTACAAAATAAATTAATACACACGAGTATTTAGGGTTATATTTGTTAACATAACATTGTTATCAAACACTTCGTAACCTAGATAGGGGTAGCAATTACGAGACAAACCATTCCATGACCAATAATATTTGACTAATTGTTGGGAATTTCTAATACTAAACAATTATCTATATACCCATAATCAGTAATTGTGGTAGGCAAAGGGAGGCACTAGTTCTCCCTAACAATTTTGTTTGAAGTAAAGGTATCAATTTGTCCCGATAATCCGACAGTAGAAATATTTGAATCATCAAAAGTTGAGAAAGAATATAATAAGTGTATTATTTAACATAACATTATGAGTTATAAGATTAAAATATTTTTTTCTCAAATTATTTCATTATTTATTGTAGGTTTCTCTTGTTTTGTATGTTATCGCAATAATGACATTAGTAGGGTTAGGAACAAAAATAATCTTATAATAATATTATCATTGTATGAAGTACGAATACAATATTATTATCTCGAAATCGTGATTATGACTATTGGAACGGGAGGTTATTTTTAGACTAATAACAAATTACACTCTGAACTCTTATAGGTTATAGGTACTATTTAGGTATTATGTATACTGTATATAATACCATTACATATTAATATTATTAATATGTATATGTATAATACATGCAATACAAATATATTTAAATTTGAGGGGGGCTCATGGTTTTGATCAGGGTAAATAAATTATGTTTCACCCTCCCTCTAGATACGCGGCTGTCTATAATATTACATGTTATTGTAAATTGGAAAATAAATTAATAACTACATAGGTACACACATAGGTAAATCTAGGAAATGATAAATAAATACAAATTCAACAACAAAAAAAAATAAAATATTTGTACGAAATATGGATGCTGAATTGTATTACTAGTTATGTTAACTTATACGACACTATATTTTCTTGTCCTGCAGTAGTGAGAGAAATGTCTAAAAACATATTTCGTTGTCCGTATTATTGTAGTATTCCAGTAGTTTTTTTTTTTTTTATCTCGATGTCCCTAGGTTACTAATTTATTGTTCTACATAGCTACATCTATAACAGTATACCATCAAGCAAAATGTTAATAAAATAATATAACACTGTTTTTTTCCTAAGACAAAGTACAAACGTCTATCAGATTAAACTATTTTTAAGTTTAGAGTATATTCGATTTGGGGAGTGAAATAGATATTTTATTGTAATTTGAGGTATTTCCCCGCTGATAAACAATTGAAAACCCATAATTGTACAGAGTTTAAATCGACATGAGTCCAAGGAGTAAAAAAGTATAACTGGAAATCATGATTTTTGTACACCGTTTGACAACATTGTGCTCATGGTTATCAATGTAAATATAAACTACCAATTACCAATGCGATAATTAACTGAGTGGTCAAACATTATTTAATGACATTATATAATAACATTATATAATGACATTATATAATGACATTATATAATGACATTATATAATAACATTATATAATTCTTGGAGAAACTGGTAAAATTGAATAGTTTCCAAAACGGATATATAAATTTAGACACCAACCCTCAAATATATTAATTTTAATAATATTTTAGTATATTCTGTAATTTAAACACTCATAAACTTTAACTACAAACAGTATTTCCATTTCTTCCTATAAATCAAAAGTATAAATTGAAGTTTACTTTACTTTGAAAAATCACACTGTGACGTGCAGGTAACAAGGAAAATAAAAAAAATGTAGGAAAATACATGTAACATTTAAGTTCTATTCATTGAAATAATATATAGTTACAGAAAATCTTTGTACTAAAAATATTAAAACAATGGGCAATAAGAAAAAATTCAAATGAAAATTATTAATGAACTCATCAAAAGTATTTATTATAAATTCAACTTAACCATTTAAATTTTAAAAAAAGTATAAGTACAATAATATTAAAATAGTATAAATGTATAATAATTCAAATTAATTAGATATTTGTATAATGCCAATGAATATTATGTATAATTTATAGGTAGTGTAATTTAATTGTGGTTAAAAATATTATTTATTTAATTGACAGTTAAAATATTTTTATAAACTTATCTTAATGATGTAAAATAAAATTGTGAATTCAAGTAAATTCCATTAAAATTTAAGAGTACAATTTAAATAGTAGTTAACTTAATTAAGAAAACCTAGTTTTGAACTCATCAAGATTAAGCAATTGTCCATATTTATTTGGACATTCCATTGATATGAAAGACTCCAAGTTATGTTCTTTTTCTGTAATAAGTTAAAATAATATTAACATAGTAATTATTCATCAGTATTGTTTAAATTTAAAATAATTTATGTTGACATTTATTTTTTAAATTCCATATTGTGTATTGGCATCAATGATAGGCTTTACATATTCTGAATTCCTTTTTATATTGAATAAATTCAGTTTTAATTTAAATAACTAATTACAAAATTATGAACTATTTACTATTTATAATCAAATTATTAAATTCTAGTATATTCTTATTTATTGATTTTAATTGTATATTATTTTTGCTAATATGCTAATCTTAATAAATTTTTTAAAATTATGTTTATTTAAACAAATTAACAAATTGTATACTTTGGTTTAAAATTGGTGGATAATTTGGTGGTTCTGATATCCAATTATCGCCTTCCAACATGTGTCCTCTGTTAGATGAAAATTCCGTTAAATACGTTTTAGCCTCAATAACTCTGAAATACCTAAATGTATAAAAATAATTTTTATTTGTATCATAGCATTATTACTGACACATTAAATACCGCTTAGTGTCAATTTCCGTTAATTCATTTCTTACAGCTTCCTGACAATAATGAGAGAATGGAACAGGAAATGGCAACGTAGTATTGATATCAAAAACCATAGTTTGATCTTGATGTTCAGTAATCACTAATGTATGAAAATCCTAAAAATTATAGGTATAACTTATCAATTACATATAAATGTATTAGTATTTTTTATGACACTAGTATATAATGAAATACATCTGGTATCATTTCTAAACTCATAAATAATTTATTATTTAAATTTGAACACTTCTGTATCAGCATGCAATTATTATAAATAAACTAAATTAAATATTTAATGTATTGCACCAGGATTTCAAAATTTAAAATAGTTTTAGATAGGTATTTTGACATTACATTTTTTAACTGATATTTTATATTTACAAAAATAGATATTGTGTGTATGTTGATTTTCTCCACAACCACTAATTTATCAGTAATTCACTGAGGATTGTGCCTAGCACCTGCCATTGATAATAAAAGATTTTAGTTGGAGGAAGTTTACTATGAGCATTATCACAATTCTTTTTTTTTTAATAATAATTTGAAAATGTAGTACCCGAAATAGAAGACCATCTTTCTGTGGACTATCTTGTTTCCATAAATGTACACATTTGTTTGGATTTAACATTATGATAACGTAAGCTTTTAAATCTGATGTATCTTTGTTTAAGTCCAATATCAGTTTTGCTAAATGCCATATATTTTCTTCGCTGAAAAAAAAAAATGTATAATTTAATGTAGGTAGGTACTAATAGATTGATTTTAAATGGACATTTTATTATTTAAGCCATAAGAAATTATATGTTTGAGATCTGTTAACTATAATATAGTCTTCTATATAGAATCCACATAGCCAGTATTAACGGAGCACCTTAATGAAAATAATTTTACTTAATTAACCTATTCCTGTCTGATATGCACTTGAATCCAGAGGAAGTTACTATAAAATAAAAAAATACATGCTTAATATTTTCATTGCGTGCTTTTGATAAATAACATTAAAATAGTTTAAATTTACATACTTATATAAATATACTAGGTACCTACATTACCTACTATATTAATTCAAACGACCTATAATTTAATAAAAATAAAAATTTGAATGATAACTAATATCCAAATATATTACAGTTTAGACATTAACATTTGAAGGCAATACGTCCAGGTTTTTAGTATTTATTACACAATAAATTTAATTTATAAATAAACAAAAATTTGAAAACATTTTTGTAAATTGATGGGCCATTTATAGTGAGTTTACCCATGTAAATTTATTATCTATCAGTTTTGTTATTTGATAACAAATACATTTTGGTTGAACGCTTAGTTTTTTTTTAATGGTTTATTTATAGAATAGAACACTAATGGACCGAACATGGACCTATGCAAAAAAACAAATACTTTTTTCCTTTAGTAAATGTGGTATTTTGTGTGAATAAACAAAATTAACATGTTCTTTAAGTTATGGACGTCATATACATACCAAAAGGATAACGTGTACACGCAATCAGATTTTTGTGGAACTATCAAATTTGTGGTTTGGTTTGAACACATTTTGTTTTTATTGCAGTTAGCAGTTAGTGAAAAACTTCAAAATTACTAAAAAACTAAAAAACCGGCACTGTACAATTAATATATTTCTATTGTATTACTATAGAGCATCAGTAATTCTACACAAGATTCAAATAAATAATTTACTTTGCGATATTTTTCGGTCGAGAGAGCTCATTATTACTTTCAGTTTATTAACTTTCTGCTTTGATAACATTTGGTAATGCTAGTCATTGCTTAATATCATTTATATATATATAGGTATATTTTTAATTGTGGTGGTGGTGGTGGTGGTGGTCAACGGTTTTATAAATAAAATAAACTTTAACCCCTTAAATTCCCTGGGGATGAGTATTGTAGTTTCAATGTCAAGTAAACAGAAGACAAACTTCAGTATGTGCAGTTGGAGAAAAGAAAAAAAATACCGTGCAATTTATTGTAGTTATAAAGTAGGTATTAATGATAAGTGACAACATTATTATCATGACAACAAATAATGATAGCATATTGAATAATAAAATAATAATAAATATTGAACTATGTACTCTGCGACTTAAACAAACGAAGACATTTTCAAAAATTTATATAATGTAATACAAAGATTATGCAACATCATGCTCAGAGTTGGGTAATAAACAGTTTTTAGAAAAAATGATAAGAAATCGTAGCTAAATCGGTCTGCATGAATACCAACGTTAAGAAAAAAAGTTGAATTAAAAATGTAGCTACACCAACAACGAAAAAAAAAAATATTGTTTTAAATTATGTATTCATGATAACCGGTCTTGTGCAAAACCACGTCGGGTAATGAATAGAGAAAATTAAAGAGAAGTAGAGACCCGAGGTGGACACTCGCTCACTCGAAAATTTTAATTGAAAATAACTCTCGATTTGTTGTGCGAAACCACGTCGGGTAGGTAATGAGAAAAAGTGAAGAGCGTTATAGGTGAATGTACCTTTAATTGGTATAACATTATCACATATTGAGAGGAGTCGCAGTGTGAGGCACACCAAACAGAATACCATGGACGGGCCTGAGTGATAACCGCTATTTACACACCCGACGAATAGCGAAACATTACTGACGTATAGGCATGTCGGGGTGCCGTGTAGAGCGACGAGCAACGAACCAGTCAACACAGTTCAACGACAGTGCGGGTATAATAAATTGCGATAATATTATGAAATCGGTGGTCGGCCGCAGGTGTACGAGCGCTTTAAAGAGTTTTTTAACGTTCGGATAGTAGTGGTTTCGTAAAACGGAGTTTCGGATAATCAAGGTTCTACTATAGTAATTATATTGAATTGAATTATAAATAATTTTAATATGTTGACTTTCTTTATTAAATTCCATATTGGATAGACATCAGTAATAGGCTCTAAATATTCTGAATTTCTTTTTGTATTAAAGCCAATTTGACTATTTAATTTGTATTCAATTATTTCTAAATATTATATTATAATAATGGTTTCTGCAAAAAAATTCAAACGGTTTTAGAACCAGCGTTAACAAAATCTGAAATTTGAGAAGGGCGTAGGGCGTAGTAAAGTGCATTTTAGCTGCGTTACTGCAGACAGTCGAACGGACGAATAGATCACGGCTTTTATAAATACAAGATATTACCTATTATTATTATTATTATTAATTTAAACATGAGTAATTACAATAAATGAGCATTTAGCTACATATTCATAGTAGTCAATGTTAAAAAATGGGTGCCGAAATATACATACTTTCCAGTTTCAATTTTTTTTTTTGTAATTCTGTTAAAAATAATCATATAGACCCTGATTTTCCACAGAATATTTATATTAACTATTTCTAGACGTAGTAAAACTTTAAAAATATCTAACGATTTTTAAGCTATATATAGGCATTTGACGTTTTTAAGTTATTTTTAGATCTTATTTGGTTTTATGTGGAGAGAATTATTTGGTCTAACACAAATGCTTGACAATTTAATCCGTGATTATAATATTATAAATTGTACTTAGTGGTAGTTTCGCGTAATATGCGTAGTAGTTTTTTTTTTATGATATTTTTAAGTTCAAATTTTTACGAAAATTATAATTAATTAATTTATACAATTATGTATAGTTTGTTTCAGATTTGGCATCTGAGTGAATCTGCAGTAAGTCCAATCTTTGACACTCATAAGGTAAGCCGTAGGTTATAAACTTAAATTTACGATGAAAGCAACTTAAGCTATAGAATTACTATGCTAATTTTACCTAATCCTCTAATATATATATTGGAGGGTTCTACCTCTAATATGCTACCTATTTTTTGATAATAATTATCTACTTAACAAAGGTTATACATTTAGTTGAGGCTACTTAGTGAAATATAATTCTTGGTTGCTAAGATTAAGCATAGTTTTGTATTCTTTTCAATTTTAAATTATTGTTCAGTTATATATAATATTGATTAGTTGATATTACATAAGTAATATTTCATTAAATTGGTTTTAATGAAATAATCTGTAAATAATAGTAAAATCATGTTTAAAATATATATTCTAAGTTTAAAATTAGAGAATGATTTATTTTCTGAAACTAGTAAGTATTGATTTGCTTTTATTTGTTATATTTATTTATAATAAGTATAATAAGTAAATTTAGATTCTTAAGTAAATTATAGGCAGTTGGTATAAATATGTACTTTGTATTGAAGTTACCTACTTATTTAATCTTAGCATTATTTTAACATAACTTTTAACATTATTTAAATTAATTTTTAAAAGTAGTTATATAATTAATGTATAATATTAAATAATAATAGGTGTAATCTCTCTACTATATATTTTGTATAGTTACAACATTATAAGGTGTGAGTTATGATTATGATTTATGAACATAAAAAAAAATTAAGTGTAATGTAAATTGGTGGGTAGGTGTGGATTATTGTCGTTATTGATGTTATATTTTTTTACTTTAGTGATGTGAAGAATTAAAATTTATATAAACTAACTAAAAAAAAATTAAATTTTGAATTTTTGTATTATTATTATGAATACAAGTATAACAGTTTATAACCAATTACAAATACAATGCAATTATTTGCAATTTGGATTTATAAAGACTTATAGACACTAACCTAAATATTGACAGCGCTAAAGGGATTTAGTTTTGAAGATTTATTATTGGGTATAAGACTTATACCTAGTGGTGAGTATTGGCATAAGCTTATATCTTATAACGACCTATATTGAGAATATTAAAATATCAAACACCTGATATCGGTTTTAATTTACTTAAAAAAAATTTTTTCGGATTAAAGGCATACCGGATATTTACTACTTATAATAATGATACTGTAATTAAAGGGTCACATTTCAACGAGCAAGGCATTATTGAAATGAAAAATCAATGTAGGTATTTAAAGCACCTATTTGTATTTAATCATTTTAATGTTCCTCTTAAAGTTTTTCATTTTAAAAATTTAAGTTTACAGTATTACAAATTTAACTTTGAGTTATCTTATTTAACCTGTTGTTTTGTTTAAAATTACCAAATTATTTTGTTAATTACATTTCAGTATTTAAGATTCTTATTCATATTATTTTTTTTTTTCTTAATCGTCTAGATACTTTGCGATAATTGAACTGGAGACAACAGTAGTAAGCTAAATTACCAGCTTTTGAACTAATTATAAAGTTGAATATAAGTAGATTTTGATTTTTTTAACATATCCTTTGCTATTCTTACTACCTTTTATGCTAAATTATTAGGTACTTTTAGAATAATTTAGGACTTAAAACGTTACTTTAAACTGTCAAATTTCAGCTTACTGTTTGAACTCCCTAAAACTAAATAAATTATTCTCAACAAAGGTATCCCTAAACAATTAAATAATAATTATAACATCTCTATTATTATATCCTCAGTAGTTTTATTTTTAATATTAATTTCCTCCTATCATATAGTGTTTAATCCATGATAGCCATAGAATTTGGTTTTCTGCTTTAACTTTGCAATGTAGTTTTGTGTAAAGGTAACGTAGTTATGTAGATATATTATATCGCAAAAACATTGCTCTGGGTGGTAAATTTATAAACCACCCGATTATATATTTGTTCATAAATTATTTTTTTATTATTTTATTAAGAATTATTATAAAACATTTTAATTTGAAACTGTTAATATTACAATATTCACATCATAGGGCTAGTATGACTATTAGATAAGTATTTTAATTATTATTTTAAACTGTTTAATGTTATAAAATGAAATTAATTTTTTTTTGTCATTAAAGCTTTTCTAGTGATATGTATCTGATATATAATACACTTTGTAAATGCATCATTTTTTTAAAAATTTAAAAGTAAAGTCGATAAACTAATGATTGCCTACTTTTTTTTATAGTGACAATGAAAATAATATAACTTATAAGTAGGGGTGCCTAATTGTATTCTTGTCCCGGTGTGTACATTTTCTAAATGAAGCAAACGATAGTATTTATACTGGAAAAAATTAACTATGTAAGTTTTAAAATTATTTTTTAAGGTACTTTTTCTGTTTTATGTGATAATATTTTTTTAAACAAATTTCATGTCATGATAATTCAATAAAATACTATTGAGGATACGGGACTCATTACCATTTTTAAATTCACATTAAGTGAATTTTAATACATTTTTTGAGTCGATCAGTTTTTAATCTTTTTAAAAATTTCCTATATGCAACCCTTAAATGTTGTTAATTTTAATAATAAATAATAATGATATCATCATTTAAGTGGATGGAAATACAATAGCTCTTACAAGATACGGCAATATAGATAGACAATTCAGTTCCATATCTGTCTTGTTAATCTGTTGAGTAGTTTATCGAATCAATACACTATTATGTATACTATATGTGTATATATTTTATTTTTCACGTGAAAAAATGTGAATAAATAATACCGTTTTTTATATGAATGTCGACCAGCTGGAATAACATAAAAAAGATTGCTAAATATTTTACGTTTAGACACTTATTTGCATTTGATATATTATACAATACTCCAACATATAAAATATCGAACCTAAACATGCCATTGAATGTATATGATTAACTTACAGTATAAAACACTGGCATAAGTAATAATATGGCTCTTTTGATGATATGGTTTTATCACGCGATTTCAGTGCAATCGTGAAATTAAAACAAAGACAAATGTAGCCATTTTACCTGTTACAAGACCGCAAAATTATAAGGAGATTTGACAAATTATTTTTACCGTATTATTTATTAGGTACCTAATGGACAAAGTTTTAA